CCGGAGGCGCTATCTTACACACCTAGGCGCACTCAACAGTTGAGCATGAACCCCACTGGAGACGAAGGCTACTTACGCACTCCTGGCCTGACCTTACATTGAACGGTGTTCTGGTCAGGCCCACTCCATTCTCATACCATGACGGCACTCCATAAGAAGGAAGCGACGCACAGCCATCAGCCATTCGCCGCCCGAGTTACGCGAAGCCTCGCCCGAGGGGGCCGCYTAGGAGCGAGACTCCTTAGCGGCCCAGCCCGCAACCTTCCCCCATTCATCAATTCTCTCTCTCTCTCTGCATTCTTTTTTTCGCACATCACGCATCCCGCGAAGGACTGGAATGCAGTCTACCACCCCGGCATATCCCGGGCTGTCCTGTGTATGCCGGAGAGGGAGACCCGCACCACATCCAATTCCCTGACAAGACCGTCCCGCACATTCACCCACGCAGGGCAGTCAACCAGAATGTGATCTGCATCATCTACATTTGTTCCGCAGTAAAAGCACTGCGCAGATGCCGCTTTCCCTATTCTAAAAAGGTACGAAGGGAAGCAGCGATGTCCAGTTATCAGCTGAGTGGTGTGAAAGGTCGTGCCTATAGAGTACGGCCTCTTTACCAACTCATCCAACCTGCCAGCAATAGCCGCCCTTACCCACGCGCCTGTTTCCCTCGGTGCCCCTATTAGGCTAATCTCCTCTTCCTTCCATGCAGCAATCGCTATCCTCCTAGCCTCAGAACCAAGCGCCACCTTAATGCTCGGAGGGACAGGTCCCTCCGCATCACCAGGAATCGCATACACTGCCGTCAGGCGGGGCACAAGATGATCAAGGGGAATGATCTCCGCAACCATCATTACCGCATAGCACGACACCGTTTTATAGGCGCAACACACCCTGATCGCCACCCTCCTCTGGAACGATCGAATGGTCCGCTTGACACGCATGTCCTCTGCCGCAGCGCGTCACCACGCCAGCGCCCCATAAAGAAGCACCGATTAGATCACGCTGCCGTAGAGGCGCCTCTTCTTCTCCCCTTGTCCGTGAAGGTTCGAAAGGAGCCTTTCAAAAGACCGGAGGATCCCCTCCGCCTTAGGAATCAAGGCCGCGAAGTGAAACCTAAACGTGAGATCCGAGTCTTACACTACGCCTAGGTACTAAACTCTGAGACCTATGAAAACCCGAGACCCCCTAACCGTAATAGCAGGGGCCGGAACATTCCTGCGTCTGCGAAAGGCAGAGGCAGGGAAGGTCATTGCTTCCGTCCTATGTGGCGCTACTTCGAGACCAAGCTCCTTGATCGCACCCACGATTACATCGAGATCCCGCTCCGTGTTCGCGATCGCCTCTGACAGGTCCCGCCATAATGACAGGAGGGCCGTATCGTCTGCATACCAGACGACCCGGGAACCCCCTGGCATCGGAACCCGAAGCAGACTGTCATAGGCGACATTCCACAGGGTTGGACCCAGCACCGAACCCTATGGGATCCCGCACGACACCCGTCTTTCCTCCAATCGTCCTCGCCTCCCGACAAACATCAACGATCGGTCTAAAAGATAGCTCCTAACAATGTTCGCGATATACGTGGGAAAGCCCTTCTCGTCCAACGCCCTGAAGATAGTCTCCCACGGTAGCGAATTGAACGCATTGCTGATGTCCAGCGAGGTCAGGATCCCGATGAGCTTACTGTCCACGCACTCCCGCACAATACTTTACACCACCATAATGGCACCTACCGTTGAGCGTCCAACGCGAAAGCCATGCTGCGCCTATGAAAGCAGACCCCTTGACTCCAGGCACTCACCAATCATTGACACTAATATCCTTTCAAGAAGTTTTTCAATCTCATCAAACAGGCAGATCGGTCTGAAGGAGCCATGGAGGTCGGGTTAGGCGTCCTGCCTCTTCTTTATCAGGACCAGATTAGCACTCTTCCAGGCTGTTAGAAAGATTCTGGTTCTAAGACACTCCGTGAAAAGCTCCGCGAGACCGACCCCGCAGTGTACTGCCGCTGCTCTTATCACTATGCCCAGGACTCCATTCAGTCCCAAGCCTTCCAACCGGTTATCCTCTTCGCCGCAGCCAGCACCATCCACCAGCACCCCGCGCACGACCTGAGCATTGATCTGCTCCACCTAGGGAAAGAGGCCCCCCAACACCCGGTCCAAAACGTCCGGTTCGAGCACATCCATCAGGGGTGCAGAGTATGGTTTTAGCTTTTCCATGACCAGGCGATATGGTCTGCCTCACGGGTCTGCCTCCAGTGTTCCTATGAAGTCTCTCGAGGCAGTGACTTTGGCCTTCTTAATGGCCCTCTTCAAAAGTTTCTTAGTCTCCCTGCGGGCCTTCAGACACAGCTCTATTCTTCTTTGGTCCCCGCTGCGTCTGGCCTTCCGAAAGCGCCTCCTAGCCGCAGTCGCTTCCTCCCTGAGAGCAGACAGTTCCTGCGACCACCAGCACGCCTTCCTCCTCTTGTTCTTAGTGTTCCCCGCTCTCGGCAGTGCCATGTCGCACACGCGCACCAACATTCCGCGAAGCTACTCGACATACACTCGCGCACTGCACAAACCACCAGGATGCGTCCAGTCGCCCGATATGAGAGCAGACGCGAGCATGTCCTCGTCCGCAGCCCGCGCATTCCACCAAAGGAAAGTCTTGTCAGGCCGGCTCAAGCCTCGGACCCTTGCAGTCTCGTTGCAAAACTCAAAAACGACATACGCATGGTCTGAAAGGGACTCTGCCTCATCTACCCTCCATTCCGATAGGCRGATACTAKMWGCTGGCGAGCCCCACGTGAGGTCAATAACGCTCGACCCTTGCGGCCGAACGCACGTGGGACGACCGATCCGGTTAAAGAGGTGTAAGTTCAACCGATTAGCCCAGGTAGAGGGCAACTCTCCCCTTACGTTACCCCTACCCACCGGGTCCCATCTACTGGCCCGGGCATTGAAGTCGCCAGCAACCAGCACCGGAGAGGTAGAGAATCTTCCCAAGGGCTCTTCGAGCTCGTCCAGGAGTCAACAAAATTCACCAATAACCTCGCTGGGGAGAAAGTAGAAAGAAATCACCAGCGAGTCTCCCCACTTAACAGCTTTAAAGAAGTAACCCCTGAGAACCAGACTGCAGGGTCTTCAGCTTTCACCTACTAGTACCGCAGATAGCGGAGCCCTCCCTTGGGACGAGAACCATTTCTCATCCCCGGTAGCCACCCACCACGGCTCTGCGATAACCGCGATCCCCGCCCCACACTCGCGCATACGCTGGATCAGTAGATTCTGCGCACCCCGTGCATGGGTCAGGTTCACCTGCACACATTGTTCACTGAGGGACATTGTTAATGGTCACACCACTGATCCCCGCTCCTGTTGCAGGCTTCGCACACCTGTTCGTATGGCAGTCTTTGTCCTGCGCTACTGCTCCACTTGCGTCTCTTGTAGGGGTTGACAGGTCCCCGTCCATCCCTATATCCTCCCTCCTATACATCCCCCTCACCGAAACACCAGGCACCCGAGCCTCACTAGCACTCGCGGTCGCGCACGTTTCGTTATTTGTCCTTCGCGGAGGGACCACCGGACACTCCCAGGTCCCCGCACGATGTTTGTTGTTCCTGCGCCCGGCGTCCCTGCACACTGGACACTCCACCTTGTTTTTGCAGTCCTTCGCGTTGTGGCCCGGTTAACCACATTGATGGCAAAAGCTTGCTCTAGAGGTCGGGCTCGGGCAGGTCGCAGCAACGTGACTTCTAGCCAGGCACCAGTGGCAACGCAATGGTCTTTGCCAGAGCTCGACCACCCTTGCCTGGTATAGTCCGAAGTCTATCTTCCCTTTCTTGATGACAGCCTGTGCTATTTTTACCGGAGCAAAGACAACCGTCTCCCAGAGACGTCCCCTACCCATCCTTATTTTACCAACCCAGATTCTATTRGGGTCAGAGTTCCCCTTTATTGTAAGAAGAGCGTTTCTCACAAGAGTCAAATTTAGGCTTAGGTCGATGCCCATCAGCCTGAAGGATCTCATTCTCTGTGGCCAAGCGATCTTGGCCTCCGGTACCGTCCTCCTCAGAGCTTTGGCTACCCAGTCTGCCTTCACAGCGGCCTCCTTCCCCCTGACACTGAAGATGAATGCCCCTGTCAGACCCGTCCTCATCGTTATACTCTCTACCCCAATCTCTTTGAGGCTAATGTTCTCCCTGGCCTTGGCAAGAGCATCGCGGTACGACATTGGCTCTTTGCATACCAGTGAGACCGCTGCAGACTCTTTTGTTCATCCGCCGCGGGTATTCTTCTTTTCTTCCTCCTCTTCTTCTTATCCTTAGTGCCACTTCCTGTGGCACTTCTTCTAGTGCTCTCTCCTACAATTCTTGAAGGTTCTCTCGTAGTAACGGTCCTCTCCGTCAGCTAGCGGCGCTTCTTCCTTCCCACCTCCTCGATGAACCCATCCTGTGAAGGGGCAACAACAACTGCGGCCGGCACTCCTGGGGCAGGAGCCCTCGAAGTCCCTGGAGTAGTAGCACTCTTCCTTCCTCCCACCCTAGTCCCCTCGGTCAAGCTTGTCCTTCGCTGAAACGATCTATTGGTGCCAGTGAAGGMGTTCCACAGCTCTACCTGGTTACGTTGTAGCGCCTCAATGCTCTTGTTGACTTCTCTCAACATGGACATCACATTCCCCTCCCTTGCATCCTCCAGCCTCTTCTCCAAGGCTGGGGTTGTCCTGTTTGCTGTGGGCACAACCTGTTTCCCTTGGCTTGGGACAGCAACCGCTTGTACCCCCTGGCTTTGTTTTTCAGCCTCGCGCTTCCTGAGCTCCTTTTTGAGCATAGCGATCTCTTCATCCTTTTGACGGATGTTCTCATCCCTCATTTTAGCCTCCGTTCTCAGCTGAATTTCGCTTTAGCTCTAAAGAGAGGGGAGCCAGACTGCCTGTCCAGTCGCTGCTCAATTTCATCTGCAATAATGAGTGCATCCTTGATGAGGCGCTTCATTTTGCCCGACACCTCTCTTTTATATTAGAGCATCGCGCTCTCTCCATCTCCATCCTCCTTAGGTTTAACCTAAGGATKTCTGAGAGCCTTCCTGCCTCCAGCATTAGTATCGGCTGGCTTCCATCATTCCCTCCTGGTGCGTCCGGTTCGACGATGAGACAGTCGTCCTCCTCCGACGACGTGATGATGCGCCTCATCCTCTTGCTCCCCCTGGTCTTTATCGGCGAGTCCGAATCCGACAGCCGCAACTACTCCAGAGCCTTAGCCTCCCTCTGCTATCCCTCCATCCGTGCATCTCTTCTGGAGCCTTGGTCAGTTCGCGGGCCAGGTCACCTACCTGCAAACAATTTCCTGAGGCATTAACCAAAGTCTGGGCCGGGTTGCCTACCACAGACTCCTGACAGTTGCATGATGTCGACGATAGGGTGGCTGTCCTACAATCACCAAACACCGCCGTCGTGTGGGTTTCCCTCCTACACGGTTTATTCTCTGAGGTTGTATTTTTCATATTTTTTTATTTGATATAAATAGGCACAAGCACAGAGAAAAAGAAAGGAAAAACGAAGGAAGTTAAAGACATGAAAAAAAGAGAAAAAGAGAAGATAGAAAGAATTACAGAGAAAAATAGCCAAACAGAACATGCACACACCATTCATACCCTCCCATTTAGTCGCCTCTTATGACAAGCAGGGAATACTGTGAAAGTATTCCACTACCCCCTACCCACGGGGGCGACCCTTACGCAACCCTGACGCAACCCTGACGAAACCCTGACGCAACCCTGACGCAACCCCGACGTTGAAACACTAACGCATCTGTAAAGCAACCCCAACGTTTCAACGCTGACGCACTTCTAAAGCAACCCTGACG